TCTCTCATTGCTTATTCTTCACACCAAATGAATGAATTTTACCTGCACATAGGCAGATAACGTTCAGAGAGGGGAGGGGAGGAGAGGCAAGGGGAAGGGAAGGAAGGAGAGTTCAAAAAGTGGTTAAGAATTTTTTTTAATTCAATCATCATAGTGAAGCAAGAGGAATCACTGAGTTCAAACTTAGCAAACAATTATTTTCTGCAGATCAGAAAGACTATGACATTGCTACTCACATGTATATGAATTTTCTCTTGCTAAGTCAAAGCAAGTAACAAAAAACCCACACTTTGGGTAAAAGCAACGAATAAGCCAAGGTGAGACACTGAAATCAAAACAGAATTGGGCAAATTTGTAACAAAAATGTACATTTAGTTGCAAATTTCGGACCTGAGTCACCTTTGTTTCAGCCAGGTTGGTGCTGACTTCGTAAGATTCTTCATAAAAATCATCCAATTCTGCCATCTAAAAAGCCAGATTTTACACACTACTTACTGAACTCTGACTTACAAATACATAATGTCCAGAACACTAAAAACTGTAAAAGAAAAAGCAATGCACTTGCTTGTATTACTCAATACACCATGTTTGATATACCGCTTAGGAAAAAGCATGCATTATCTGACTACAACAATATGTGAACAGGTCGGCTGGCATTAACCAGGACATCCATTTTGATCGTCTGCAAAAAACAAATTATTTGTATACCAGTGGAGTGACTCCAGTAACTGGAAGATTACTGAAAAACCCAAATAACTCCACTGTGCTTAACTATGAAGAGGCACAGGACATGATAGTATACTATTAGTGCATGTCCTCTGGTATAATAAATCAAAGTGTCTAAAATTCCATCATCCTCAGTTGACTGAGAAGGACGTTTTCTGCACATTCTTCGTATTTGAAAGAACACACAGAATCCCCATCAGATATCAAGTATAAATAGGGAAGTTGATTTTTGAAAAAATCTCTCTTTTGAAACTCTACTGAAAGATCAATCACCTTCTCTTGTTATTTTCTGTTTTCCTTTCTGTTTCTGTGCTACTCAGGTTATGGAGAAGGCTGTCACAGCATGTAAGCAGAAGACACTGGAAGAGATAAATCCTAGGGAATATTTTAGGGAATTACAGGATATGTATACCTGCTGGTGTACTTAAAAATAAGCTGATAGTATTCAATTTGATTTGTCATTTTTATAAATTAATTGAAAGAACATTAATAATAATTAAGCTTTTAAAAAGCAATGCTTTCAGAATTTACTCAGTAATTTATTCAATTTAACCTACTTTTTGCAAACAAACCATTTTTATTATTTTGTATCTATTTTCCCTGCATCCTAGCTATCCGCTTCCTATAGGAAGACACAAACATGCAATATATCTATAAATATTATCAATAACCAAACAAAAGCCATCTGAAATATATGTTAAAATTGTGCAGTAGTAAACATGGTTCTATCAATGCACAGCAGCTTGAACAACAGTGAAGTGAAGCTTGTTGGAAAGGAATTTACAGGCAAAGCACTCTCATGCTACCTTTTTCTACATCATCAGATTTCTCCAATTGTACTGCAGCTTTCACCGCAGCAGATCACCAAGAGAAGTAAGCTTCCGCTCTTCTCCTACTTGGTAAATCCCTGATAGTATAAAACCAAGTATTTTTAAGCACAGATTCTTGCTCTAGGCTGCCAAGTTGACAGCGTACATTCATTAATTGGCTTCATTTAAGGCCCTTTCCAAAGAAAACAAGGATTAAGCAAACAAACAACTCACAGAGTATGTGAAATTGAGAGTTTTCATAAAAATATTGTATGTTGACTGTGTTATGCCAACTGTTTTTAAACAGAATTACAATAAAAGCAAGCTCCTGTTACAATAGATGGCATTATATGACTGATACAGAACTTATACCTTTTTCTCAACTTATTAAGAGGACAAAAGCTTAAAAATCACCAGTCTTATACAAAAATGAAATACAATGACTAGTAGACCTGTTCTATATTACTCCTCTTGATATCCAAAGCACAAATGAAGTGCCTGTCCTCTGTATGTCGGAGCCACCGCCTTGGTTTACTGACAGTCAGTAAAACTTGCAGTTTTGAACAGACATTTATCATTTGAGAACACCTTTAAATGAGATTTCATTGCATTTCATTAAAACTTTACCTAAGGCGCGCACGCACATTTCAGAAAATTAATCTCAGTCAATATTTGCACAACTGTTGTTGGCAATAAGACAAAAAAACCTCTTGCTGGCTCAATACCGAATGATATATAAAACTCTGATGTTTTAAAGACAGCTTATTAAAAAATTAACATACCACAGGGAAACTGCATTTTGATTCCATGACCTTACTGTGATTCAGCTTGAAAATCCTTTCAAATGAGAATTCTCAAAGAGCTTAGTAACGGAAGTTCATTTCGAAGGAAATCCAATATGCAAATATTTCAGCTGTGCTCTTTTACAAATTGTCTGCCTTGTCAGTTTGAAAAACTGAAAACCAACAATGAAACAGTGTAAGTATACTTGACCTTATTGCTTAATGTCTATCAAGAATGCTATGTCTGGTGGATTTTAAATTTTGAAACTGACACTCAAAAATGTATAGTACACATCCCATAAATGCTGACTACACTCCAGCCAAAGCCTTGGAGCCGACACAACTCTCAAACTTACATAACACTTACAAAGCTATTTTAAATACACCATCAATCTATGTCTGTTGCTGCCTTGAAGTAATCCTGTTTAGTTTATCTTTTAACCCTACACTTGCACGGAACTGTATCATTACTAACCTAACAGAAAAAACACACAGGCAACAAACCGATTTTCTCAGCTTACAGAAAATATGAAAATGCAGGAAGACACTCAAATCTAACTTTGCCCAAAATTTGCACCTCCTGAGTCGATGTTCACCCCCAATTCCCATAGCAATCAGGAAAGCAGGGAGGAAAGAACTATGCTGGACACCATACAGGACTAGAGTAAATGAATGAAGTAGGGTAAAAATAAAAACTAAATAATATACAGTTTGTACGCATCTCCTGAGAAACTGCAGTCTCATTTACTAGTAAGGAACAAATAACTAGCAACTTTGCTTTTGACATTAGGCACCTGTGTAAAAAATGTCTGGTGAAAGTGAGCATATGCCATGCACTGGTATCCGCTGTATGAGAGCAGTTTATACAGGCCCCTAGTGGTTTAGCATACACAGCAGCAGATGAAGGGGAATTCCTACTCTTCAGCTTGTGTAGTTTTAGTCCCTGAATTACTCAAAGGCAGGAATGAAAGACAATGTTAAAAATGAAAGGTCATTCACTGACTAGACTTAAACTGGTATTTAGTTCTTTCATGCACCCCCATGCCATTCTTGCAAACCCTCTCCTAAGATTAAGCTCTGATTTGCTATCACCCATTGAGTTCGCTGGCAGTACTGGTGTTTGAGTTACATAACCATCACAGAAGAACACTAAATTCACATTATTTTTTAATGCTCATTTTAAGAGTATGATGACTGATGGGTCTAAAAGCAGGTCCTAAGACCCATTCGTGAAATCTAGAAATACCAAGATACCATTTTCCTTACCATGCACCATTCCTGACAGCTTTCCACACACAAACCATAATGAATTTCTTAGTGTCTTCTTAGAGTAGAGGACTACTACTTAGAGAAAGCTTTCGTGCTTTAAGTGGATACAGAAAAGCTATACATCATTTCTACATTGAAAGAAATCTAAATATACTCCACCATATTATCAGAAGTGACAAAACTAAAACTGGAAAGCTACTCGTGTAAAAAGTCTCTCATTAAATCCTTCCTTTCTTCGTACCTTGAAAATCCCAAGCCAGTATATTTACTGCTTCTAGCAATTTTGATTGAGTGAAATTTGACAGCTGAATTTATTAAACTGACCAGTTTGTCAATTTCGCACATTAAAAAAGCAGTAATAGCACATCTCATGAGAGAGAATGTAAGGAAGCTATCAAAAAATTGCCATCTAGAGTAAGATACGAGTACATATGATTGTATTTCGGACAGGGGAGAATCTCTTTTTTTTTTTTCTCTTCAGAGTTGCTCCATTCATAACAAGAATTGGAGGAGCTTTGTTGCTTCCAGACCAGGAGAAAATGATGTCATTTACCATACACTTTTACAAGAAAAGAAAGTACTGACCATTATATCATTATAAGCCACTAGCAGATACCAGAGGAATGAAAAATATAATATATACATTTTTCCATCTCCGGATCAAAATTCACAATAAATGTCCCAATATACAGAAGTTGCTTGTGCCCGAACAAAAGGTATGTTGAAGTGATCTCTGAAAGACTGAGAAGACAATCATAGCTTCCCACATTAATCCTAAGTTTAAGAGAATACAAGCGTCACCAAAAATACTTATATCTGCAAATGGGAAACTCCAAAACAAATCAGCATCTATGGACTCATCCCCAATGTAACGCTGTCTCAGGCGGCAAGTGAAGGAACACATAAAAACCTAACTATTCTGTGTAAATAAACTGACCTATCTATATACGTCAAAACTAGGAATACGGACATCGAAATCAGGGTAAAGAAGCTGCCATTCTTCCACGAGGCAGTAAATGTACAAAGGCCAGGCAAAAGAATAAAATACACATGACAGCAGTTCTGAAGAAGTAACACGGAGGAGGAGACATTCAAAAGCCATACATGCAAGGCTGAGTAGTAATGTCTTAAAAAGGGAAGAATACGGTTCTGTTGGGGAACCGAGGGGACAGTAAACAGGCAAAATAGGGGATTCGGTGGAAGAAAACAACTGTTTTATTTGCAAGTCTGGGAGAGCCCAGTTGCAGCAGTGAGGAGTGCCTGCTTGCACGGGCAGACGGCGCAGAGGGAGCTGCTAAGTTTGCTGAACAAATTCAAGAACCCCTCTGTAAGCGCTCAGAAAACTGAGTTTTCAGCCCGATGTGCTTCCTTTCAAGTGGTTTCGCGAGAGTAAACAAAAAATTAAAAGCCTAACCTGAGAAAAGCTTCGCATCTCCGTGCCTCCCTGCTCCGCCGAGAGACAGCAGGAGAAGGAGGAGGAGGAGGAGGAGTAGAATGAGGAGGAGGAGGAGGAAGAAGAGGTGGAGGAGGAGGAGAAGAACGGAGCCCTGCTCGGACCGGCGCCGGAGGTCCCTGCCGGCCGCTCACCCCCACACCCCATCTCCCAGCGGCAGGCGCCTGGCCTCTCACCCTTGCTACCTTTCCCCCTTCTCTCCACCCATAAAAATAAACAAAATAATTAATATTAATAATTCTCTCGCCAAAGCAAACAGCCAGTGTGTAATTACCGTACTCCCCCCTCCCCGCCCGCGTACAGCGGCACTCAGTGGAAGGAAACGTCGACTCCGATCCATCAATCGCCCTCTCCCTGCCCCATCCCCCGTCCCCGCACCGCAACTCCCCTCGCTTCCCGAACAGGCCTCGCTGCCAGGCTGACACCGGCGGGGAGGCGCGGGGAGCGGGCTGGCAGCGGCCGGGAGGGGAACCCCGGGGGCAACCCGCGGGGAGAGTTTGTTTCCGTGAGGCACAATGTGTGCGCGGCTGCGCGCACACACACGCACACACACACCACTTTTGGTGTTCACACCCACAAACCGCGCCGAAAAGAGGCGGCAAAAGGAGGAGCGGCTGCGGAGGAAAAATGGCAGGAGCGGGGCAGTTTGATCTGGCTGTGTCGAGGCTTGTTCTCCTCGGTACCAGCAGCAGCCGCGCCGCCCGCCGCCTGCCCGCCTGCCGCCGCTTCCCGCCGCCGCCACCTCCTCCCGCTGCCTGCTCCCGCGTCGGCTCCGGGGCGGCCAATTTAATCCGAAGCCCCGCAGCAGCAGCGGCGAGCGGGATGCTATACCACCAGCGGAGCCCCGTCGCTGCTGCCTGGCGCTCGTGCGTGTCTCTCACAGTCCGGCACCGGGGAGCGAAAGAGTATCAACGAGAGTCCGAAAATCCAGCATCCAAAAGAGCCAGGTCCGCGCCTGCCTCCTCCTGCCAGCGCCGCCTCTCCTCCGCGCTGCTCTGCTCCGCTCTGCTCTTCTCCTCTTCTTCTCCTTCCTGCGGCGGCGACGGCTGCTGCTGCTGCTGCTCCCGGGCGCGCTCTCTGTTCCCGAGCTGCTGCTCCGTTTCCCCTCCTCCTCCTCCTCCTCCCTCTCACTCACTCTCTCTCTCTTTCTCCCTCTCTCTCCCTCTCCTTCTTCCTTCCCTCTTCGCTCTTTTTTCCCCCTTCCTCCTTTCCTTTCCTTTTTTTTCTTTTTAGCACATTCCTTTGCTACAAATAAAAGCGAGGTGTTCAAGCCTCCCGCCCCCCTTCCCACAAAAAGTGCAGTGCAAACAAAAGCGAAGAAAGAGGGCAGGGGGTGGGCGGAGTGGGAGGGCAGAGGCACGGGAAAAATCACCAGAAACGGTCCCCGAGAGTCGAAACACGAGCAACCCTCCTTCCGCTCCTCCTCGCCCCTCGGGGAGAGAAGGGGGACGCCGTGGGGACGATGGGGACGGCGCTCCCCGTTTCGTGGGTTTGTTGTGCGGTTTGGGTTGGATGGCTGTTTCAGCGGTCTTTGTTGGGGGGTGGTGTGCTTTTGGGTTTTTTTTCTGGCGGTTTGGTTTTTTTGTTGTTGTTTGGGGGTTTTCGTTGGTTTTTTCGTGATTTTTCTTTTATAATCCTCTAAACGCTGTGTAGACCACAGGATCCGTACGGCCCCGAGTGTTGGGGAAAGCACGCTGCCGATGCCCGTGGCTATGCGTGCGCGAGGATGCGGGGGGGCGAGTGCATGTGCAGGCGATCCAGGAGCGGCCGCCCATCCCGAGCCGCGGGCCGGCCGGGAGCGGCGGTCGGCGGCCACCGCGCGCACGCACACCCGCGCGCGGTTGGGGGCGGGCGCGTGACGTCACTCCGGGCCGGCCGGGCCGGGCCGGGGGTCAGGTGTCGAGGCGGAGGGTGCGGAGGCGGTGGCAGCCCTTTTGTCTGCTCACCTCCAAAAAACTTCCCTGGGCGAGAGAAATTCACCGGAGTTTAGACGCTCGACTTCTTGTGCGGGTGCGCAGTCAGATGGTTAAACTGCCGGGGGTTGTACCGGACCTCCCGGCCCGCGAGGGATGTGACAGAGTGTTGCAGAGCGGTATTTTCTTGTCAGTCATCCTTGAGTATGGCAAGTCTCAGATTTTCTTCCTGAAGAACGGTCAGGTGCCACGCCAAGTGACAGCACGTGTTGCTTAGCACAATGGGTGGTGTAACGTTGGGCTAAAAAAGGGTCTGTCCGGCCTCTTCTTACCCTGTCCTGCCCAATCCTCAGCAGAGAAGGAACAGCGCATAGGACGTAGGATTTAAGTGAAAAGTGCTTTGGAAAACCTCAGTGTTAACTTCTAGGTGTCTTCAGAAGCCTGGAACATATGTCCTCGGTGACACAGTTCATCCTGTGTAAAATAGAGACTGGACGTAGCACTTCCTGCCATGGACTAGTTGACAAGGTGGTCAAAGGTTGAATTCAAGGATCTCCAAGATCTGTTCCAACCTAGTTGATTCTGAAATGGGGGTAGAGTGTTAGGATAAACACAGTAAATGCTAGTCCATCCTTATGGTGATGGGAGCCCATTAATATTGGTGCTGGAAAAGTTGGCTTCCTGGCTTCATCAGAATGAAGCTGCGGGTGCACCATTGACCAGACTGGTGCTTCTAGTCCTGAGTTCTGTGCTGGCAGGCTGCAATCTGATCAAACTGTGTAGTCCCTGATTCTGAAATCAACCATGTTGGTAGCTGCAAAATTCATTGCAGATGAATGATACTTTCTGCAGAGAAGAGTGATTTGGGTGTTTTCGATCATATTAATCGTATCGCCCTCTGGAATATAGTGCTGCCAACATGAAGGGTGATAGAAGTGAAGATAAACTCTGTTTTCCCCAACTCCTATAAATTGCTGTCTTCTTTTGATGTTGCCAGTGACACCATTAAAACTGGTCCCCTGAATAATCTTACACTTAAAAGATCACTATTCCTTTCCAAATAGTATGTTTCAAAGTACAAGTAACTTTGTAAAATAATTGTTTGGTATGATAAGGTAGCTTATTAGTATGCTAAAGAAAGTATCTTTAATATCAGTATACTAAGAAAACATCCATATATCAGTTCTTATCAGTATACTTAGCTGTTTTAGTGTTCTTCATGCTATGATCCTGACATGACATTGAAGAATTGAGCAATAAACCCATGTATTTTATATTTTCGTGTGGTATCACAACATGGATGTGTTTTGGGGACTACATTTAACTTTCCTTTATTTTACAGTTATAAGCAACTATTCCGTCTGTTCAGTTTGTCTCACAGTACACATTAGGAAGAAATGCATCACATTAGACATAAATGTACTTCTTTCTGTTAAAGTATTAAAACCAGATCTCATTAATATTATTTATAAGATTTCCAAGTTTTGCAGTGATGCTAAAGAAAAAAAAAAGAAAAATAAGAAAATAACCTAAATTCATGAAGTAGCATTAAAACACTATATACTTACAGTCATTATACTGCATATCACCATTTGGTATCAGTAGCATAAATTTTGTATTTGAGATAGTAGTGTACATATATACATGCATAAATGTATATATGTGGTTTGTTAATATTCCTTCCCTGTTAAGAGGAGATAACACAGCAAGAAACCTTAGTCATTTGTTATAAACTACTCATTAAGGTGGATTTTTTCCCCAAACTACGTTAAAAATTCAAACACGGCATTCTACACTGATGTTCTCTTTTTGCCAAGATTGCAACAGTATGTTACTCTAAAGTTAGTACAACATTGAATTGGAAATATGTTTACACATTTTATTAACTTTGAAATGTTTCCTGTAAAACACTGGACAATCTCTAAGATAGTACTTAAAGTAGGTTTGGAGTATAGGAATGTTCTATTTTTTTTTTTCTAGGAGTGAAAGGAAGAAGATTGTTTTATTTGAAAATAAGTATCGTGTTCTTTCTGAGGTTTTATCAAATTATGCATCTTTCTGTCATCATTCGAAATTAACTGTTTAAATCCTGTTCTTCCTGCTCACACAGCCACTTTCAGAGTCCTCATGGAGGCTATGGACCAGCAGTGCAAGTCTGATGGGAAGCGCAGGATGTGAATGCAGGTTTAAAACTCAAAAGACATAGTAAGGGAGGAAGCGAAATGAGTCAGCTTTCCTGAATTTGTCTGAATACCTGTCTAGAACCATACTCTGGAGTGACTTCTACCATAGCTCTTCAAGTAAAGGATAAACCATACATCTTCATGTCTCAGTCTCATGAATTTCCTGTATTAAATAGTACTTCATTCATAGTGTCAGTCTTATTTTTCTCTCTTCTGTTCTGCCTTGTATTGTTGCTTGCATTCCTGGTAATTAACATCCCACTAAACTCTTTAGCACAGTAGGACATTCCATTAACAACTGGATCCAGTGGACACTGGGTGGACACAGCAAAATCAGGAAGGCAAGGGGGAGCAGGATAGGTGGATCAGGAAGGTTACCCTATAGTTTCCTCTCCCTTTTTTTCTCATACATTATGATAGCCATATTTTACAGTTTCTTATGATTAGCAGATGACAAGCTGTTGGCTGAAATCTATCAGATGATTTGTCACAAAACTGCAATAATAGATATTTTGGACATTGGCTTACAAAATGATTATAAAAAATGTTCCTGAGTTGCTGTACTGATATTTGAAAATTCTAATGTATAAACTACAATCACTTTGAGCACCTATTATTAAAAATAATAAAACACTACTAGACAAGTAAACGTGTTATCTGTATGCAAAAACTTATTCAACTAATTCAGTTTGACTGTGCATCTTTTAAGTCCTGATTTAGTACCTCAGCAGACATTCTCAGTACTTGTCTTCATCTTGTAAACATTTGTGATTCATATAAATCTTCTAATTGATGAAATTTAGGTAGTTAGACACAAAGGTATGGAAAGGAAAGTGATTTTCATTGTGGTTTTTTATGATCATTTTTGCCACATTTGCTATTTTTTCCCTGCTGTCTTAA